AAACATTGAAAAGCCATCCCTGCAACTGAAGTTGACACCCATCTCTTCATCTTGCATCAATTAATTGGGTCGGTAGCCAATGAGCTGCCAATGATGCATTGGTTTAGACTTAGTTGTTAAGGATATGTCAGGCCTCCTTTGTTTGGACACGGTATATACGTCCTTTTCAGACACAGGAGCTCAGAGAAGGCAATGAACATTTCAGAGACAGATATATCTCTTTACTCAGTTAATGCGTTTCAACTTTCAAGGCGATCAGTGAGAGGAATGACACTGTTATCGCTTTCCGTTGAAGTGATTTCAAACTCAGATTGCTTGTTGGGAGGGGAAAAGGCAAAGGGCTTAGGAGGCATTTCAATGTCTTCTATACTCCCAGACAGCATTTCTACCACTCTTGTAATAGTGGGACGATCTCTAGGATTTAACTGGATGCACCATAACCCCACCATCATCATCTTCCTTCTTATATAATCACCCTCTTCTTCAACAGAATCGGTTCCTACCATAACCTTATTCTTTTCCTCGATGAGCTTGTTGCAAATCCAACTCGGGAAGTATGCTGATTCACTTGAAGCACTTGCAGCACTTGCTACTGGACCAACATAGTTTTTCTCGCCTACCATCTCTATCAGTAGCATCCCATAGCTATAAACATCAGATTTACGGGAAGGCTTCCCAAGGTTTCTCATGAAAATCTCGGGAGCAATGTAACCAATGGTTCCCCTTGCGCCTGTCATTGTTACAATGCTATGATTTCGCGAGAATACTTTGGCCAATCCAAAATCAGAGATTTTGGGGTTGAAATTCTGGTCTAACAAGACATTCTGAGGCTTTATGTCAAGATGCAAGATTCTTGACTCGCAACCGTTGTGCAAGTACTCTATTCCATGAGCAACTCCTAATGCAATTTCAATCAGCCTTGCCGTTCCAAGTGAACGGTTGATCTCCTCTTTTGACAGCAAGTCTGCTAATGATCCATTCGGCATGAATTCATAGATAAGGGCCTGTTTTGAACCATCCCAGCAGAAACCAAGCAAATTAATAACGTTAACATGGTGTATCCTCCCAATGGTGGCAACTTCATTGATGAAATCAGGACTCATTTCAGCAGACTTATCCAACATTTTCACAGCAATAAGACGACCATCAGGAAGTTCCCCCTTGTAGACAGTACCATAGCCTCCCTCACCAATCTTTTCTTTGAAGCCATTGGCCAACTTCTTGATCTCATGGTATGAATGGTTGGTCAATAAGTTTGACTGATACGTTGCAATGAATTCTCTGGCCTTTGTTTCTTCTGCAGCACTTTGATTCTTTACAAAATAGAATATATTGAACAGAGCTGAAGACTTCTTCTTGAAGACAAGTAGTAGGACTAAAATGGCCAAGACAAACACACCACCTCCAGTTGCAAGACCTATTTGAAATTCATGAAGAGCTTAACTAAGAATGAAGACCATCAAAAGAAAGAAATTAAAAACCAAAACCCTAGTCGATGATGGTTAAAGGTTAAGCATAGTCTCATGATGCCTGGCTCTTTCTTCCTCCTAGAAATTTCATATTTATTGGAAAGTAGATTATTTGAAGCACCTAACTAGCCGGATTGGTCAAGACTTCTCAATTTAAAATTGGATATCAAAGCTGGAATTAAGTGACTTCCCCATTTAGTAACAGGGTTGAGGGTCGAACAAAGAATTAAGAATTTATTTGTTTTTTCTTAATTTGCTGATTCTTGGTTTTGCCAAACACCGCTAATTTTGATAGACTTTTCAAAAGGGAATCACTTTGAATTTTCTAGTATTAGATTAATAGACTAAACTACCAGTTACAGCTCCAATTGTAATTTTCCAGGATTAGGTGAGTCCATTATGTTTACCTGCAATGAGTGCCCTCTTCTTTGACTTTCTTTGCCTGCAAAAGCACAAGCAAACAAACCAACTATGATTTTATATCCCAAGAGAAATAACCATGGCTGCAGATTATATAGAAGCTACTACAAGTCAATTGCAAATCTGATGAACTTTCATCTCTTTCACTTCGATAGGAATGAAAATTGGTAGTGAGTGGTGGACAATAACTTACTTGCAGCCGCCCTCGCAGTAGCAAACAATTCCAGTCCCCTCGAGGTATCCACAGCGCCCACCACCGTCTACAATACTGTTTATACAACCGTTGCATTTTGCAGAACTATTCCACTGCAACGGAAACCCATCTCCCAGTGCCGCGATCAGCGCTGCCTTGCCCTTACCAGCACTAATATTGAAGAACACTTGGCTCATACTGGACACAGGCACCGTCACCAAAGTACAACCACTCGGCGTCACAGAAGGGCTGACTTTCAGCGGATGCTCCGGAGTCCCATCTCTCCAAAGATGAACTCTGGTTCCATCATCGCAACTATAATTAAGCACTACCTTATCAAGAAAATCCTGAGGAAGCGGAGCCTCTTTATTAGAACACTTGAAGAAGGTCAAACTGGCATTCCCTCCAAGAGGGGGGCCGATAGAGTTGTTGTAAAAACCAGAAATTGTGAGGTTGCTGAGGGCCTGGCAGGAGCCAGATTTAAGATCTTTGACGAGATCATCATTGAACACCGTTAAGAGTCGGTCGTCTGGCCCTGAGAAAAGATTTTTAACATGGTATAATGCACCGGAGAGCATGATTTTGGGGACTTGGTAATCATCACCGCAGAAAATTTGGTAGCCGGGGAGGCCGCAACGGGAGGTAAAGTTGAAAAACGGAAAGGGGAAGATGATGTTGCCGCACTGGAAAGGAAAGCAGAGGTTGTGGTTGAAGGTGTCGTTTTGGGGTTGGACAAGGATAGGGAAGGTAATGAAGATGAAAGAAGACAGAGTAATGGTACCGCGAATGAACATAAAGGAGGAGGGATGTAAATCAGGGGTTCGATCGCCATTAATTTCCATTAAAGACCACAATTTGGAATTTGAGTTTTCCTTGGAACATTTTGAGTAACCCCATCAGAACAATTGACTTTTGGGCCAAAATAGTACAGCAGCTACCAATCTTTTTTAAACATTTGGTTCAGAATTCTCTTGATGTATCGCACATAAAAAAATAAAAAAAGATGTTTTTTTTTTCTCTTGATGTATCAGAAAAACTTATTCAAGCCCGTAAGTGATGGGTTGGGACTTGGGAGAGAAGAAGCCCAAGTGTAAGTTGTCACGAGAGTTTGGAAGCCTTTGCTCCACAAGTGATTATTAGTAGATTGTTTAGATTAGTTTTCTTTTAAATAATTAATAATTAATATTTGATATTTAATAATTATTAATATTTATAATTTAAAATATTTAACTAATTTAATTAGAGTCAATAACTAAAAATTGTTTTCAATAAATCAAAATAAATGTTCCTTATTTCTTTTTATTTTGTTATATATAAATAAACATTTACATAAACATTACATTTATATAAAAATTTAAACATTTATCTTTTTATTTTGATGATTAAAATTTATTTATTTTTATCATATTTATTAAAAATAATTATTTTTGTTTTGAAAATCATAATAAATCTCAATCAAAGTAAAGAAATAAATAATTAAAATTTTATTAAAAAATGGTGTATAAGTAAATCCCTATGTATCTATATCCAATCATATTATACAGTATAAAATATTGTAAATGAATTTTTTTTCTTTTGAAGTAAATGAATTATTATACATGGCTAAATTGAAACATTATATACGACTAAATAGCATTTTCCTAACGGTTATATTTTTCCAAGTCTTGGAGGTTTGATTTGTTTTTTGAGTTTCCAGACCGGATGGGGGACAACCCCAATATCTAGGCAGCCCCCATTCCCCAACCAACTTTTTATAGTCTATTCCCTCCCTAGTCCTTACGGGCTTCTGGATCTGGAATAGTGCCTTCCATTACGCCCCATGAAAAAACAACTTTAAATTTAAACATTCTTTTTTTTCCTCTTTAATGCATCAGATGAGTTATACAATAAAATAAAACTTTTTTTTTTAACCTTCCATAATTGTTTTAAAATTTAAACTTAAAATTTTTAATTTAAAATATCAAAATTTTAACTGATTGAAACATCGACAGGGTTAACATATTCTTTTCCATTCAATGTTCAACCCCTATTTTGAGTCTTCTGACTTCTCATAGGAAAAAGGGGAAAACATTATGCCCAACAGTCTATAATGACACCATAAAAACAAATTAGCCAAACCTTACGGATTTGGGGTAGAGCAGTCGCCAGTCGCTGTGTCAACCTTAATTACCCTGGTATTATATGAACCACAAAACCCACACTTGTGATAAAGCCAGTGGAAGGGTGCCGTTCCTTTCTTTTCACAATCGTTGCACAATATATCCTGGATTACCATTCATTGTGTCAGTGTCAATAATCCTAACAAAGGAGAGACTGGAGTGTGTCAACAAGGTTTACCTGACAGCGATCCCTGTATTCTTCTGGAAGCACTTCAGATGCTAGGAGTGCATCAAGCATGCGGAAATAAACCTATACAATAAGAAACAAAAAACTATTAGATGCATTTTCCTGAACGAGCCTAACATCTGACTAGCGTAAAGATGTCTGCTTGGCTCATAACCAGTTCTAAATAAATAGTGCTTCCAAATATCCAATAGCATGCTAACTGGAGTCCAAACAAACTAATAAATCATCAAACAATCTCTTTCAGTGCCCTAGTACACTTCCCCATGTTGACTTATTAAAGGTGTTTTGGTAATTTTGTTGCTGAAACTGCAAAACTGGATTCTCTTCTGAAAAGAGAATGCCTCCACATGGACATTTATATAGACTCCATAATAACTGACGTACAAGATGATGGTAGAAGTGAATTCAAGTTGAAATGACAAAATGCTCTGAAGAAGAAAAAAAGTCTTACGGTCATATCTCCCAAAGATTTGCTACAGATTGGACAGATATAATGACTGCAAGTGTAAGCCTGAGAAAACAAAAGTATATGCAGAATTTGTATTAAGTGAAGCTCACTAAAAAGATGTCATCAATACACTACGTCAAAATTCTAAGAAGAAACAAAAGAACAGGAAACAAACACAATGATGAATGGACCTGGAAGCAGGCTGAATGCATGAAATGGCCACATGGAAGTGCTCTGACACTTTCATTTGACGTGAACAAAAAATCACAGCAAATGGGACAGTTTGTTTCTAGACCTTTTTCTCTACACTGATGGTCCACCAACGTCATCGACAGACAACAATTGCATTTCATGCAATGGAAGAAATCAACCCCAAGTCCACTTCCAAGACGGCATAGATTGCAGAAAGGGCAATGATAGACAGTCCTGAAATTAATATTAGAGAACAAATGAAATAAAAACATTCACAAAATATATCAAGTTACCAAGTTCACATTCAAAATCATTACTTTTTTAGTCAGTGGAGAGGCATTCTTGTGTGGCATTTCAGACAATTCTTCACTAGGAATTCAAATGTCTATCCAGGGAAAAAGATTAAGGCCCCTAGCATCTTTCTACGTGGCTTACATAAAAAGAGATGAAGTAGCCAACTTTCAGTCTCATTTCAGTCACCCAATTTCCCAGTGAAGAGAAAAAAAGAAGGGTCCAGAGCAAACCAAGCAACATATATTCTGTATTCTCATGTTGTCCCAGGCAGCTACCTAGAGTTATATCAACATACAACCTTGCCACACAAACATAGAAGATCCTTTACTCTTTTTTTCCATCAAGAATGGCAAATAGAAAAACCTGGTGTAACCAGCATAATGTTCTTTTATATGATCTAGCATAAAGAGATGGTAAAAATCATGTAATGCATCTTTAGTACATATTCCAGTCTTTAAATTATAAAGCAGTAATAAATATAAAGCAAAAGTTCCAAAAATAACAGCAAGTACCTCTCATCATCAAAAAGTTTGCAAATACTGCAATAGTACTTTGCCATTGAGAGCCCACTACATGAAGGAGTTGTGCAAACTCGTCCAACAGGCTGGATTTTCAGGCAGTGCATGCACATCATTTCAGTTGTAGCCTTCCTGAAATTGAATAACATATCAACTAGAATACCATCCCCATGGAAGTCCTCCCAGAACCAGAAGGCAGTTAATGGTGCCAAGTTACCTATTCATTGAATGGTCACTGACTTTATCATGGCAAAACCTACATGTATATAACTTCCCACAGCAAGCTGCACGGAGCTTGCAATTTCTTTTGTAATGCTCACATCCAAATACTTGTTTCTCTGGATCTCGGAATGATGGAGCACAATAGAGTAAGTCCTCACCACTCAAAACTTCCTCCACTCTTGCTTGAGGGGAGTTCTGCTGAGCAGCTATCCACCGACTAATATAACCCACGAAATTGATGAGAAAAAAGGTGCAGGATTTCCACATTAATACATAATATGGTTATAGCAGGAACATACCTGGTCATTAGATTTTGAAGAAGGTAAGCTTTTCTTCTTGGATCAAGAGTTGAATCCCGTGAAACTTTTCTTACCTCTGCTTCAAGCTCATTCTGATTCATACGAAAGATGTCTTTCCATCCAGGCTTAAAAGTCTGATCACCATAATCGATGCTGTCATAGATGCCATCAGTGCCTAAAATTACAGCAAATTAGATATAATATTAAAAAGAGATCCTCATACATGAAATCCTCAAAATCTGACATATATCGTATAACTCAAAAAACAGAAAATTTGGCTTTGTCATCCATGCGGCCAAGAAAAACATAAAAAGAAACCACCATGTGGTGAAAAGAAAGCATCAACAAACCTATTGAGATACAACTCTCACATGTAGCTCCAGATGCAGATGAAGCAGGTGTTACTTCCCACCATTCATTAAGCCACTCAGTGAACATTGTGTTCTTGGTGGCCTGCTTCCATGTGTCCATCATTTTATTCTGCTCCTCCTGAGTGAGAGCAGAAGTCACCCATGGCAACATTGACTGAAGAACCTCTGCCCCTGTAGTACCAATTATTTGACCAACAATTCTGTCCTGCTCCTCCACTGAAAAATGTCTATCAAACAAAGGCCAGAGCTCAAGTTCTTCCCGCATTGCATGTTGATGCAATGTCACTCTTATGGACTTGCACATACCCTGAAGCTTTGTGGCTTTCTCATTATACTTTCTCATTGCATTACTTGTGTCAGAATCATTAGCACTGTTCAAGCATTCATGAAGTTCTGTTAGCTCAGAAAGTGCAGATGAAATATCTTTAAAAAGCCTCTCCTCCTGCTTATGATCCAAAGTATAAGAGTGGCTAACATTATGAAGAGTCTCCTTAGATTCTAGTGCTGGAAATACCATGTCATCCTCTGCATTACTATGAGCTTTGTATAAGCCCCACAGAAGACGGAATCTACCAGTGAACTGTCGAAGGAAAGACTCATTGCAATCATTTAGTTTTCCAGATTCAACATCCAAGTATTCCAGGTCTTTACGTATGGCTTTATGAAATTTAAATATATTATCAATTGGCCGTGATACACACCCGTTCTCTGCAGAGCTTAAATCTGGTTCCCAGCTAAAAAGACTAGAGTTCAACGACGGAGCAGAAGCACTAAATGCTAATGAGCGCAAAGATTTTGATGCAGCCAGAGAATTACGAACACCTAGATTACTGATATCCATTCCTAACCCTGGGACACAGCAAGACTGATTATCACAAGATTTATGGCCATTAAGTTTTCCTGTACAGTGTGCAGCATCAGTGTCTTTGCATGATACTAAATTTCCTTGCTTGAATGGCCTTCTACTGTTATCTACCTCATCCTCTTGAACTACTGCAGGCCTTTCCTCAGCAGAACACAGAGTAGTGCATGCACTGGATGGTTTGGTAATATCTTTTTGAGTCCCAGCCAGTGTAGGACAACAACAAATTGCAATTGAAGAAAGGCATACTTCTCTGGAATGACCTTTGCTTGCCCAACCAGAAAATAGAGTAACTAATGCAGAGTCCGACAATGGAGCTGTCCAGTTAATTCTAGGAGTCAGAAATAAACACACACACACACAGAGAGAAATGACATAAAGCCCATATCCACCTTTATAAGGTGAACAAAAAACTAAACGGGAAAGAGAAATGTTAGAATTAGCATCAGACCTGCCAGCTGCATATTTTGAAGGAATGACCTAACTTCTTCTTCACTTAATGTTCGCACTAGCCATGGTAAGACGCACTCAATCAATTTCAAGGGCATCACACATAAGCTTTGGTACATAAGTTCTCGCTGTCTTTGGGGGCTAAAAAGCCTTCGAGCAAGTGGAAGTACCTAGGAAAGCAGCAGACAGAACTTAGCAGAACGAAGATACGGATGTCAAAATAATGAGATGATCAAACCTTGATTCAGGTTACAGGGTAATCACAAGAATACCCACCCCCCCCCCTCCCCCACATTTTCCTCTCTCTCAGTTGGCAAAGATATTCCTCACATTGCAGCAACAAAATACTTGCCTGAGATTCCTCATTGTGGAAATGCTTTTGTATGCTGTCCATTATCTGATCAGCATGCAAGCACAACTTTCTATAGAATTGAGCAGAAGAGGAGTTGGCTCCAGAACTTTGAATGCTTTCAATAAGGCATCTGAGCTTGTTAAATTGAATTTCTTCCTCTGCATGCTCCTGGGCAAAAGAGAGTTCAGCATCTACAGCAGGGAATATAACTTTATCCTCAGCAATACTGCAGTCAGAGAGATAAGAGAAGTTGATTTCATAGCACAAAACCAATCATAAAAATATAATTTCCATTTTAGTAGAATTTCTTTATTACATGTCCCACTATTTGATCACAAAAGAAAGAAATAGATTTTTCTTTCAAGTATAAACACACCTGTGGAAGATGCAAACTTCTGCAATGAATTGCAGCCTCTTGTTGAATGCAGATAAATCAGAAAAATCACCAGCAAGTTGTATCCTCCTGGCAGCCTCTGCTATATCAGTCAACTCTCGTTTTATAGCATTATGCCAAAGCAATATTTCATTGATAGGACAGGACACAGCAGAATTTGTATGATCATAACTTATCTCCACATATTTCCTTTTGCCAGCCTTGGAAGATACACATGCACACTGGCCCTTAGTTTTACTAATCAAATGACTACTGCAAGAAGCTTGGCATCTATCCTTGGAATTATCTTTGCAGTTTTGGCATATATCAGCCATTTTTACCCCTTCCATCCAGCCATAAATAACCTTCATTCAACAGACTTTAAAAGGTGAGATTTAATTATCAAAGGAAATTTTTTTGACTAACTAATTGTACAAGA